CCTAAACTTTTCATACGAAACATTTTTCTCTATCCCTACTAGTTTTCGAGATATTTGACTGGATCACTTCAGATGGTCCACCCTGTATATAAAGGTATATATTTCATATACATAAAAAAATATACATAATATACATTTCCTTCATTATACAGCTAGCGCATATTATTTGCAAGTACATATATAGTATATATTAGTAATTCAAGATTGAATTATTTAAGCAATAAAGATCCAGCTTCGACCGTAATAGGCATTTAAAATTCTAGGATTGTATTTCTCACATATACGGTCTAAAATAAAGATATTGTGTATATTTTTTGTATAAAAGTTTTAAAATAATAACTAGAATTTCATAATTACTACTTTAATTTATTTAAACTTTTATACGTATAAAAATGTTTTATATGGAATCCAATCTATTTTTATGGATTTAAAATACGAATTCGGAGATGGATTGAAAATTTCCAATTCGTTTCAATTCATTTTCGTTTGCTAGGATATTATATGATAATTCGATTATGTATTGCTTTACTTTAGATATATGAAAGACAAAATAGGATTGCCTATAGAATTTATATAATTAATTTAATTAAATAATGTGTATTTTTTAGATCATCCATCACACATGCCAAATTCAGAACGACCGCTTAATGAGTGCGAAGAATTCTGTTGTATGTTTAAAGCAAAATTTGACACGTATTCGTTATTATACGGGGCAGAAATAGATGGAATTTCTTCGCAACAGCCTATAAGAGATACACTTGTTAACAAAAAATTTGAATTAATTGAGTTGAAAACATATCCAATGTATCATAAAAATATGTATCGTCAAATTCCCTGTGAAAGAGTATCAATGTGGTGGAGTCAAAATTATTTGGTGAAGACAAATAAAATTATATTTGGATTAAAAGACAGAAATAAAAAAATAAGAAAGATAAATGAGTATTCTTTAGATGATTTGCCATATCTTTCAAAGGTAATTTTGTTTAAAAAATTGTGCATGGTGATTTAAGGATATATTAATGTAAAATTATATATGTTTAATTATATTACAGGAAGATTATAGTATAAAAGCATGCAAACAATTCTGCAAGATCTTTCTAGATAATGTTAAAAGAATTGTTACTAAAGATCATAATGAGTGCATGTACAAGTTTCAATGGCAGCCAACAGCTAAAGATGTTGTAAATTATACTGAAGAACCTCCTGATAATGGAAGATTTTTCTTCTTGGAGCCATGGTTTATTGCTAAAGCAGAAGATTACATAAAATCAAAGCGTCCTCAGCAAGTAACAAAATCTAATAAGTAATTTTCATATTAAAAATATACTAGCCACATGCAAATATGAATGTATGAAATATGTTAAAGACAACGCATATATTTATGCACATATATGTGTGTATCTTATATGTTGCGTATTTTTTTAATACTTTTTAATTTTAAGAGTTATTATGATGACATTTTTTCTTCATTTACTCATATAAAAGTTATGATTTTTTAATTGATATTGCGTATTTCAATTTATAAAAAATAAGTGAAATACAATCCTTTTACTATGGTAAAAACTTGTTAAAGGTTTCACAAGTATGGAAGAATTTTTTTCAAATTTTTATATACGTATACATATATTTCGGAATAAAAAATATCTGTAGATTTCAATGACCCGGTCATTAGACCCAGTAAATGGAAAATTTCAACATCGGTGGAAGAGTAATAATCATTTTTTAGACAGTATGATACATAATTATTTTATATATTTTACGCAAAAATTTATATTTGAAATAAGTGCAAAGAGATCCTTTTATTTAATCAAAGTGGACATTAGTGTTTAATAATATTTTTGCGGGAATTTTACGATTTCCAGTTTATGCAAATACCGGTTTATTAGTCTTTTTTTTGCAACATAATTCTAAATTGAAGTTGGAATACGTAATGTAACAAACTAACAAGCAATTTAATGATACTGATGCTAATGAGCATCTTAAAATAAAACACTGTAAAGTTACGAAAAATATAAATATTTAAGTTATGCAATTAAATATAGACGCTTTAAGCTTATACATTTTATGTTACTGAACAAAATAAAAACTTTATTAGATATTAAATACTTCAACTTAAAATTTGCCTGATTGCATCCCTTACTTTCCGAAACATATATTTTGATATTCATTCAGGTCGAGTCAACTTTAAATGGAATTTTCCTATTTCTTTGAATTGTTTCCTAGCTTATTGGTAACAATAGTATACAGAGTGGTTCATCTTAATCCATCCAGTAAAATATCTTAAAATCCTTAAGTTTAAAACAAAAATGTTTCAGATAAATATTACTAAGTTACAAGAGAAAAAGATAATGACCTTGGTTCACTTTTAAAAGATATCCTTAAGGTCAGGCCAAGGTTATCTAAATTTTTTGAAATTATATTAATAAAATTTAATAAAATTATATTATTTTTTTTTACACATGACTCCTCTAATTATTCTGCATATAAAAAATATCGAACTAAAGAGACAAAAAACCAAACTAAACAGACAAAAAACTAATAGTTTATGAGACATTTTATACTTTATTCTGGTACATTGACATGAAATATTAAATACCCGTTAAACTGTTACGCTTAGTTTTTTAATAATTGTATTTTAATACTTTTATGAATAAAATAATGAGATGAATAAATTGGTTTAAAGAAAACACACAGTTACTCATTTAAAAAATTATCTATTTTGCTTATATATATCTTTTAAAGCAACTATGTAATTTCTTTATAAAATTATATTATTGACCTTAATATAAACGTATAACAAAATTAAAAAAATTTTAAAAGAGAAAAACATTATTTTAATCCTTATTTTTTCTTTGAAGTGACTAGTATGATTTTATTAGTTTTGAAATAGATGTATGTGTAAGAGAGATAATAACTTTGTAGATAAAACGAGGTAATTATTTTATATTTTATACAAAAGTTTGTAATGAAAATTGAAAACTTAAATATTTCAAGCTCATACATTTATTCTAATTCTAATTATATAATTAAACAAGACTTCATTACATATATATATCAGACACTTTGACCGAAAATTTGTCCGATTGCATTCATTTCTTTATGAGACATAGGTTCTAACATTAATCCAGGTACTGGTGGAGTCAATTCTAAATCACGTAGTTCATTTACTTTTATCTTTAAATCACTTCTTAGTTTATTAATGGCAGTATCACATTCTCTCTGATCTGTAATGTAATATATAATGTAAATAATACAGATTATAAAAATTAAAGAACATAAACTTTCTTGTTCTATATGTGTGTGTGTGCTTGTTTAAAATTACCTTTTTCAAGTAATTTTTCAGCTGCTTTAGATGACATCTTTAAAAGCAACGGCCCTACTGTTATCCAAGTTTTTTCATGCGACTGTTTTTGAAGTGCTCTCATTCCAACACGATCATCGTTTCGTCTCTTGTCTAGAGCGACTATTTCCTCTCGATCAGTGAGAATTTCGCCAGCTTTGTTTTCAACTTTTTCTAAGTGTTCCAATAATTTTTGCTGCTCGTCCGCCATCTATAACAAATTAATAAATGTATCATTTATTTATTTATATATTTTTATGCTATATAGAAAGGTTCTCATTCATGCTATATTTTAATGAAATAAACTTTATTATTTTTGTATATTTTTTAATTTTTATTGACATAATTAGCGTGAGATAAAAAATTGTACTAATAACATTATATAGAGAAGTAAAAAATACTTTTATTAAAATATTAATATGAAATATCTTATAATAAAAAAAAGATTGAAGATTAACTTACAAGTCTTAAATATATAAGAACAGTAAAAGATATTTTCATTACATTTAATCTTGAAATAACATCACACATTCAAAATAGAATTATTTATATTTATTTTAAGATAATGCTATACGCAAAGCTCTTTCTTTCCTAGCCTCTCTGTGAAGTAGTCTTTCCCTGTCTCTTTTCTTCAAAGGTTTTTGCTTGGGCATTTTGGAGCTGTTAATGGCAGTTGTATCACCCGATTTAAAATGAGTAATCTTATACTCATTTTCTATTAATTGTCCCAATCCTTTGCGATCCATTTTTAAACATGTTTTGATGGGATATTTTATTCCTTTCCCAGAAGGACCAAGACCAGCTTCCTCGTCCCATCCTGTATTCAAAAGCATTCTGTATCCTTTATTTTGCCTCGATATTCCATACATTGTATATTTCAGTTTCGGTTTTGTATTAAAGATGTGTAGAGTTGAACTTTCGTGTTTTTGTAACGTTGTTTCTTGAAAGGTCGCTTTACAGATTTCACAGTAAAACGCTGCATTCTGTTCCAGCTGTGTCTTATCTTCCATAACGTTGTCTTTATTATGCTCCATTGATGATTCTATAGGCAATGATCTTACTGATAAAGTACTTGTATTATTTATATTTGGAATATTTGCAGTTAACTGATTGATACTGCTTATGGAATCAGACTTCTTCTTCAATAACGCTACGATATTCAAATAATTTCTTTTTAAAGCTAATTGTGCTGCAGTAAGACCAGACTTATCTCTAGTTTTTTTGTTAGCCCCAAGATTTAATAAAAATTGCACAATCTCTAAATGACCACAATAAGCAGCGGACATTAATGGGGTCCAACCAAAATCATCAGACGAATTCACATTTTCTGTCGTCATGTGTTTTTGCAAAAACTTTAAGTCCTTTTGCTCCACTGCTTTTAACAATGTATTGACTGTGACTTTTGCTAGAATATCGTCGGAAAGTGTACTCTTCTTTGATTGTACAATGGAAGTTGGATTTGTGTTGGAGTTGTCTTGGTTTCCAGTGACTTTTAACCTTAAATTCTTTAATCTTGCTGATGGAGTATTGCTATAACTAGTTTGTTGAACAATTTCTTCATAGGTAGCCTTTGCTTCGTTACCTTGGAAAGCCAACTGATGAACGCATCTCTCTGGAGATTTATCTTGTATATTAGATGACTCCCTGACAAAGGTCTTCCATGGTATATCAATGTTGTGTCGTATATGTATCCACTGTTGCAAAGGCATCTTTTTTACGTCATACGTTACGTTGTCTTATACTACTGGCACACCTTCTCTTCTTTAATCGTTTTCTTGTTAAAATCTGTATAGAATCCTTATGAAATATCCTATCTTCTCAGTCCATATTTATCTTTTTAGGAATCACAAATAATACGTTCTTTTTTTTAAAATGTCGTAAAATACGAGTACAAACGACGAGCAATGTGTTGCTCTGCACCTTGTTATTGTCACAATAAAAGTTTGCAAAAAGACTTGGCAAAGACAAAATAAAGTTGTCTCAAAAGAGTATATAGATCTGACGCGTATTGTTCCCAGACGCGCGAGATGTTGTTATCGAAATAATACGTCGATAGCAAAATTTACCTCTGCTTCAACGCGCTATCACTGCAACTATAATCTGTTGCAATCGTCTCGCCTAAACGTCACGTAGTCACGTAAATCGCATAATTCACAATTAGGTTATGTACTTACGCCAAATACTCTCTAGAGAACTCAATGCGGGGAATTCAGTTCTAGGACGACACTGGGCAACAAATCAAAATCTACCAGACCAAAGAGAAAATTTTAAAGCGCATTTTTTGAAAGCGATTAAGTATTCAAAAATTTATAATGTGAAACAAGAAAAATTGCTTAAAACTTTGTAATTTTTATGAGATATCTTATTGTGACATATTTCAACGTAAGTCGCGGAAATATTTGCTCATGAATGAAATCCAATGAAATCTAACAAGAGAACCCAGTAATTCTGATTTTTTTTCTCTCTTTCTTTCTCTCTCTCGCACTTTTTGCATTTGGCATCTTCTCATAGTAAAATTACCTATTTATTTATAGGTCAATAATATTAAAAAAAAATAATTTTTACAAAATTCATATTTTTTAAATTATTTAAAAAAAAATATTATTGACATAAATAAATAGATAATTTTATTATAAAATTTTTGTATTAGAGATATTTTTTGATACATATCTTGAATGTTTCTGAGATATACGTTACGAAAAAGTTAATAATCACTTTATCCTTTGTTTAAGGATATAAGGATCGAGTCACATATATTTGACTCTTTAAAACTGTTTTTCCACACCAATATATATATATATATATACAGATTGTGAGGAAGTCTCAAAAGTTTTTGTATTACAAATGAGGTAGATAAATATATATATTTAGGCATTGAAAAGAAAAAAAAGCAAATGTATTGAGTGTAAACAATACAAACAACGTTAACTGATCAATTTTTAATCCACAGATTTGTCCACATTATTCTTAAAATATTATATTATTCTTGAAGTATTTCTACAGAAATCTGTTGATTCAGAATTTGTCGAGATAAAACGTTGAGAGAGGTTAGGTCAGGAATTATTGGCGGTGATCGTCGCATGACGCATGTGGTGTACACGTTCAGGTACATGAAATTTTTTAACTTGTAAATGGGATATCATTACGATTAAATAAAAACATGGCTTTGCCAACTTGGGCGAAGGTAGGAATTGGATGGTATGTGTACACAGTATCTTAAAAAAAGTTTCTTACGTCTGATTTTTGCATATCACGTTAACATTAACCTAAAAATTGAACTACGATTATCGTGCCAAGAAGAATAATTCCGAACATTTAGGATTTTTGACATTTATATAAATCAAAGATTTTAGATTTTGCGTTTGCTAGTCTATAAAAAAAAACATTTTTATATGATCTTTATTATAGAATGATGAATTTATATTTTGTAGGTCTGTAGCCACTGTTCTAGGACTTTATTCATTTGTGCTGTCCAAGAGAAGCATCAATGCTCAGAGATATGAGATTATGAAAGCTAGACAACGATTGCGCGACGTCAATACTGTAGAGTAATTTATTAAGAAGTAAAAATTTTTAAGTAAAGAAAGCCCAATTGTGTAGAGTACTAAGTTGGAAGAATGGCAGCATTACCACAGTTGGACGAGGATAAAATGAAGCTGGTGCAGGATTTAGAAATAGAAATGATGTCAGACATGTATAATCGTATGACATCTGCATGCCACAGAAAGTGTATAGCACCAAAATATACCGAGGCTGAACTAGGCAAAGGAGAATCAATATGTCTAGATCGTTGCATCGCTAAATATTTAGACGTTCACGAACGTATCGGCAAGAAACTCACACAAATTTCAATGCAAGAAGCAAAAATTGCGGAACAATCAAAAACAAGTTAAATCTATTATCATTTATTGTATTTGATAGGATCTTGAACTTGTCTATTATAAGTTGTCTTTAATCTTGCTTCAATTACGACACAGTTTATTAAGATTTGTGTCCTAAATTAAAAGTTAATGATGAACTGTAGTATATCATTCTGTATTAATGTTTTAAATTGCGAATAAACTAAATGTTATAACATGTTATAAATTTTTAATTTTCCAATTTATTCTCTCTCTCTCTCTCTCTCTCTCTCTCTCTCTCTCTCTCTCTCTCTCTCTCTCTCTCTCTCTCCTTTCCATGATATTAAATATTATAATCTTGTTAAATTTTACTGAAGTAGTTTATAAGTTTGTTAAAACTTATAAATTATTAACTACTTTGTATAAACTTATAAACTACTTTAAACTTATTTTGAAGAGATATTTATCTGTAAAAAATATAAGATTTAAATATTTATAAGATTTGTCTGTGTCATAAAGCCTTGGGATATATGGATCGTTTTAGATAAATACATTTACAAATAGTTTATTTTTCAAAATTTCATACAACACAATTTGCAAATAATAATATATTATCTAAATTTTTATTAAATTTAAATAGCAGAAAAATTTGGCTATCACTACTATTTCACATTTAACAATTTTTATTGATTATTCAAAATATAACTTTTGTCCATTCAAAGTAATTTTTTTTTGTGTATACTTTTAGACACAAACTTTTGTGATGTAGAAAAATTTTTGTTCTGACAATATACATATAAAATAAGTATTAATGCTAACAATACAACAAGAACACAATATATTAATTATTGTAAAAACAATGAATGAATTTATGGCAATGTGACAGAGTATGTACAAATTTAAATGTTATGGATTCTGAACAAAATTGAAGACTTAATGGAAGGTTTCTTATAGTCCTGTTTGGCAAAATAACCTCGCCGTTGTTAAGAAATAAAGTAGTAAAGAATAAATGGCTTTTTTTTGTTCTTGTCTAAATTCATATCACATACATAATATTTCAAAATATATTTAATATTAACCAGCAGTTTTATCTTTCACTGGACGAATTGTTGCCAACGCCAAAGTGTGCTGGCCGCCACCGCTAACTCGTACCAATGTCTTTCCCTCTAACTGCTTTCCCTTAACTAATACTGGTTCCTCGACATCTTTTACATCTCCCGTTCCAAGATTTCCATTGGTTCCCATACCCCATGAATATAAATCACCTATTATAATAAAAATAGAATCTTATATATATAAATCTTGTATTTTTTTTAAAAGAATAGTTAATTTCATATTATATCAACATTTCATATTACCAGATTCCGTGACGGCAAAAGATTCTCTACTACCCGCGCCTATGTCAATACATTTAGTGGAACTTAAAGCAGAAACTAATGTAAGCTCTTCCGCATCTGAGCAATTAGGTCCAAGACCAAGGCGACCATATTCTTTGCGACCCATCACAAAAACTTGTCCCGCGTCATCCAAAGCTATGGTATGGTGTTCTCCACTACTGATATGTTTCCATACTTTGCCGCTAAAGGTTTTTGATATTTGTGGATGAAAATGGATATCATTGTCCTTCAAACCTAAAATATTTTCCAGCAAATGCGACTTAAAATTGTGTGTGGAAAATATACGATTTAAAAAAATCCCTTTCTTTTTTAAAGAAAGAAACTTATTGGATTGTATATGTGATACACAACCAATAAAAAATAAAAGCCTTTAAGATACCTTTATCCTTCTGAGATTCATGTGAGCATCAAATTATTATATTACTACTACCGTTCTGTTGGTATTGAATTTTAAAACATCCGAAAAATTAATTCAGCGTGCAATTTTCATAACGACATATGCAGTATCGAATTATTGAAACACTTAAGATCTAGCTTTGATAAGTTAAAGATTTTTATTTTCTATTGGTCTGTCTTTCTCTTACCAATTTGGTGGAAATTATTTAAACCAAATACATATATATCTCCTTTTTCATGTTCCTTAGCAAAAGTGCAGAAATTTCCTGCCCATATATCGTCAAAATATAATTTCTTCCTGATTTTAAATTCAACTATGCCTGGAGTCAATAGCAGACCTATTCCTTGTCGTGTATTTCTACTGGCTGTACGTGCAGCTACTCGTCCTAGTTGTCCTTGTTCACCGCGTCCACAAGTATATACACGTCCATTTTCACTAAGTAACACTAAATGATCATTACCTGATGCTATTTTGACAACTTTTACGCCAGGTAATATTTCTATAGGAAATCGCTCATTTCCTTTCAACGTTAATCCCATAGAACCATGTGTATCCTATTCATAAATTTATCACACATAAATGAGATTTTCTTTTAACTAACATTGATTTATAAAAATAGTAATTTATAATAAAATAATTTGTAAAAGTATGTTTTACATATTTCTATATAATTTATGAAACCATAATATAATTTGTATATCCTTATAAAAATATAGTAACATAAAAGTAATACTTTCTAAACAAGAAATGATCATAAAAATTAATTAATAGAAAAGATATATACCCTAAATGTGCCCCAAGCAAATACTCGACCATCATCTAACAATGCAGCAGTATGGGAATCTCCTGCTGTCACCTGAATGGCTTTACCAGGTAGTTCAACTATACCCGGTACTGTCTCAGATCCTTCCTTGGTAGTGTCTCGTCCAAGCGCCCCCTCATCATTACATCCAAAAGTCAATACTTCTCCTGTGTTTCTCAGACATACATTATGCATAGCGCCAGCAGCTACAGTTATAACGTCTTGGTAATCAGTTATAGCTGCTGGACGCATTTTCTCAGTGACATCTTCTCCTAGACCAAGCTGTCCAAAATCGCCTTGTCCGAATACAAGCATAACACCACCGATTGAAAGCGATCGTAAGTCAGGTTTTACACTTAATCCTGTACAAGACAAATGTATGGAAATTACATTTACGCCACACAATCTCCTAACAGAAGGGCAATTTATATTAATTTGTGGAACATTTTTAGAGAATATCTTTATTTTCAATTCTTACAGAAAAAGAGACCGAAAAATATACTTTTCCATTCTTACAAAACATGTTCTTTTGGAACGAGAGATTGCATGGGTTACGATATTTAAATACGGGAGAAAAAATGTTTTCGGAATAAAACAAAAAATTGCTAACTAATACCTTGCTTCTTTTTGATCTGCTTTGGCGCCTTGTCCGCTTGCACGGGATCTTCGGCCGTCCGTTTTGTAGATTTTCGTGGCACTGCAACATTTTCAGGTTAGGTTCGAGAACGTTGTCATAAAACGCTTATCATGACTGTCACCCGCGTTTCGACGAGCGCTTTTAACGTCAGTATTTGTACACGTACTTACTTTTGCTATTATTTTTCGTGGATTGCTAATATATATTGTCGTTCGCTCCGTTGGCGCCAAAAGCTACAATGCTCCAAACCTCGTTATTGTTGCGCAACTCGAGAAGTACGTCGAAGAACAGACGGAACAGTACGCCCGGCGCCAACACCGCCAATCAGCGCCAACAGCCGCTTTAATCGTTACGGACGATTCTCATTGGTGGATTTGAATACGATTCGCGCACGGAGAACCGGCGGAACGGTAGGGAATACGATAAAACGTGCGGCGATCAACCTCTCCTGAGAAGTTGATTGGTTGCCATCCGACTGTTTTTTGCAGCTGTGTTCAACGTACTGCGTGCGATTGCCCGCCAAAACTACCTCGTTTACTACCTCGTGCAACTCATCCAAAGGTAATCAAAGCGAGTTTCATATATATAAGGGTCATTTCGACTATCCGATTATCTTTTAACTCCGATTAGAGTTACTGACTCGACTGACAGAATTACTTCACAAAATGATATTTATAATATACACTTTATTGTTTTTAATCTTTTTTCGATGTATTAAATATAATTCTATTAATTAATTAAATGAATTTGATAGTTTAATTTTGTATTACTTAATAAGATAATACTGATTAAATTAAGCAAAGTTGTTCGAAATGGCCTTTAGTATCTAATCATAGATACTGTTAAATAGAAAGTTTTGTAAGCTTCGCTTTAATAGCCCCGTAGTAAGCTTTGAACTGTAACGTTAATTTGCTCTAATTGTAAGGTCTAATAAACTAATTTGTAGTTTAGATCTGGTTAGTTTACTTAAAGCTTAATTAAGGATTATGGCTTAATGCAGCGCCAGGAAATTTTTTTGCTGGAAAAAACTTTAGAGCTTAGACCGAAAAGCTAAGTAAGTTTTATTACAAATCCTATTACAAATCCAGACTAAAACATATCTAAAAAAAGGTTTAGAAAAAGATTTTTCGCGTGATCTGTATATACGGCGTTTATTCATAGCTGGGTACTACTTATCTCCCATTTTGCTTTCTTATTTTTGTTGGATAAAGAATAAAATTCGCATATTTTGATATTTATAATATTTATGCACTTTTATGTTTTGTCGGAATAGGATCGAATTTGACAATCGGCATTTATACGAGCTTAGTAAGTTCACTCGTAAAAACGTTACGACCCTGAGATAACTAATATTTTATAACTTCTTTCAGTAAATTAATAAATGAAGGCGGACGCAAATACTACAACGCTCTTCGTAAAACCGGCTGCAGCACGTTAAGAAACTTTCGAAAATTCTGCGGTTTAATATCTTAGATGAAACCAAGACTAACGCGTTTTCCAGTTTAGCAGATTAATAACTTAGACCTGCAGTATTCATAGTCGGTTCTTATTTTAAGATTGTCTTACGATTAGTAATATCTTATCTAAGATGCTAATGCGATCGATTCTGTGATTCGATTATAACATCTTAGGGCTATAATATAAGACGGTCTTAAATATAAAAACCAATTATGTGCCACACAATTGGTTTTAACAGTTATACAGAAAAATAGATCTTTTTTTTGGGACCTGAATAAACGTGTTTTCCGATAGATTTTTGTTCCCTGAAAACGAATCCGAACGCAGAATTGACCTAACACGTCAGATTTCATAGAAAATTAAGGTTAAATGTGCCAAAATTGATATTTTTTGCCATATTTACCTGTTTTTGCGGCCAAAGTTTAACATTTTTTTCAATTTCGTTTACACCTCTTTAAAG